GGCACAGACAGGTACACGTGTTAATGAACGGGCGTGACATCGTTTTATCTTCTGGCAGCAGATTGGTCCCTGAGACTGAAGCCAGGCTCCTTCATCAGGTGATCAAACAGTCAAACACACACGCACACATACACGCACATCAGTTGCATCATCAAGTGTCGGCAGCTTGTTTATGGAGTCAGCGTCTGCAGGGACCAGTCGGGAGGCTCTGCGGGAGTCACAGCGGGTAACCCCGCCCCCACGGACGACAACCTGCACGCAGGTGTTACTGGAAGGAGAGTGTGAGGAGAAACTGGAAACAAAGCTGTGAGTGTGCAGACGCCTGCAGACATGTGCTCAGTGTTTCCTCTTTCCTGTTAGGTTCTATAACAGAATGAAACAATAGTGTCAGATATAAATAAAGAAAAATTTAATGAATTACAAAACACTCATTTTATTTCTATTAGATCTGAAAACGTTGTGTAACAACCTGAAGCGACAAACAGATGCGTTGGCCTAAAGAAAGACATTTAAGAACAGCTGTGAGATGGAATCACCAAAGTAAACTGGACCTGGGCTTGTTGCAGGGATGCAAGTAGGGATTAAAACCGCAGGATGAATGATGCAGTGTTTTGATTTTGCTGCCACTCGTACCCACAATGCAATGCGCGCATGTGGTCTGTCGATCTCTATTAACACTAACTAACTTCAAATCAGCTGTTAGTTTAAAGTCACCACATGCAGCTGCGGCGATGATGGTGTTTGGTTGTGCGTTTGTATGCCGTGTTGTGTTTGCTGCATTTTTAACGTGCTGTTGTGCAGCTGCTAACTCGGTCAGGTCCCTGTTGTACGAGCTTTGATGTCAGAGACTAAAGTGAGCATCAATCATTCATAAAGTCACGTTTGTAAGGAAAGACCTTCAGACCTCTGTGAGGAACAGCTGAGGGCAGGTGGAGGGTGGGGGTGGGGGGGGACTCGAGCCTCCAGGTGAGCTTCAGTTTGTGCTTCAGCTCGTAACCAGGAACCATTAAAGAGCTGACTTCCACAGAGGTGCAGGTTGGTGTTAGGACGCCTCCTCCTCATCACAGAGTTTGTCCTGAGCGAGTGAGACGCAGCGCTGCAGGAGCTGAACACAGACCAACCCTCCGCCTGTCGCTGGCTTCATCGTCTCCACACCAACAGCAGTAAAACACACCTCACTTACTTCAAAGGAAACACTCTCCTTTAACTCTGAGGTGAAGCCGGCGTCTCCAGGACAACCGCTAAAGGTCGACCTGTGGCCTGATCCCGGGTTAAACCGCCCTCC